ACAGTAGACCTTCATTTCACCTAAATGGTTTGAGGAGGCACCCAACCATCTCCATAATGAGAACTTCTTCCTCATCCTGACTCCCTGAGGGGCAGTGGCCAATATACCCTGTATGACAAGAAGCCACAGGATTGGGAAATCCCAGCCTGAGGATACCTGGAGTGGTGGAAGCAACTCAGCAACAGTGAGCATAGAAGTGGGGAGTGAAAAATAATCTATAGGAAGTAGGACATAACTTGGAGAATAGTGGCAGGTGACTCCCATCCCAAGGACTTATCCCAGGAGCAGGAAACAAACAAATAGTATTTATTACATTTATATTCCACTTTTTCTCCAAGGAGCTCAAGGTGTTCACATCTTTCTCGAACTCCCCATTTTATCCTCACAACAACTCTATGAGGTAGGTTAGGCTGAGTGGCAGTGACCAGCCCAAGGTCACCCAGTGAGCTTCATGACAGAGTGGCAAATTGAACCCTGGTCTCCCAAGTCCTCCTAATCCAACCCTCTAACCATTATACCACACGTTTCCAGGATAAGACAACATATGGAGAAAGAAATTAAGAAATATCCTCATTAAAAAGAAACCACACACCATTTAGAAAGGCATGAATATATGAAATGAAAATTCTTTCAGGCTAAGGCCTGTTCTGTATTTTCATATCTCCCTCCGGTCCCATACTTTTACGTTCGTTACAAAGGCACACTCTGACTCACTTCCCAGCTGATCCTCTCTGTCTGACACTTATTCTTAGCCCACCCAACATGCCATACAACCACCCCCTCCACTTAACCTTCCACAACAGGTACTGAGCATGTGCAAAAGACACCCTTATGCAATTTTTGAGCCACTGGCTCAAACACACCCCTGAAACGCTCCCATGCAAAGTCTATGGAAGAAAAATGCATACCACTTTTCAGTGACTCTCATTTCTACTCCAGCTGAGCATGGATCATCCTCAACCTTACCTCTCCTACACTGCAGAATTTCAAACAGTCTGTGGAACCATTTTCTAACTATAAGCCATAGAACCTATTTCCACTTTCCACAGGTGGGCATTTCAAATAACTAAATGGATGATGGGAGGGACTGCACCGTACTCTAAAATAACAAGTTTTGGTAGCTGCAACTAGTGATCAAGAGCTGAAAGTTAATATATACATTGATTAATAAGGTTTATTGAAGCAATGTGGTCCAATTAAAAGGCACACACAAAGTTTTAATTAAGAGTGTAATCCTTAGGGGACTTTCATCCTTGTAAGCATGCATAGGATTGGGTTGTAAATGTAATAGAAGTAACTGAAGCTGTTTTTAGAATCCTTGGACTGCTCTATGGGGGCATTTTTAATTTAATACCATTGTTTGCTTATAAAGACTATCTTCCTGACATAAGTTGCTGTTTCTGCATAAAAACACTGGTAAGTATCGCAACACCAGTTTGACCCCATGAAAACAATCCAAAATCTTTTAAGGGCGATATCTTTATTAGGCCAACCAAAATAGTGTGTGAGCTTTTAGTTTCTGCAGAGCTCTTCCTTATCCTAGATGAAGGGAGACAGAGAGAGAAATTGGCTGGTGTTCAAGCCATCTTTAGACTCTTGCAAGATGCAGACACAGATAGCTTGAATAGCAGCCAAAACAAAACCAAAAAACCACCACTTTCCCTCTCTGACCCTTGTGCTTTTTACCATTTAGCTTGATATGAATTTTGGAGCTGGTTAGTATGCTATGTTTAGAACAGCAAAAATTGTTTTCCAGGCATTACTAGTATGCACTAGGATTAATGAAATGCTGTTGACTACCATAAAGATATTGACTTTCTTCTTGTGTTGTGATTTGATATTTTGCAATAATTTGTGAGATTTTGTCCATGTGCTTTGTTTCTTTGATATACAGCTGAATTTGTATAATGCCAAGCAGCTATATTACAATAAATTAATTATGATGATAGCTTGGGCCACATTTCCTTTACAAACTAGCTTGGGATGCTAGCAAAAATCTCTAACACTAGTCTTTTTTTCTTTTCTAAAAAAAAGTCTTCTTCAAAGCATAGTTTTATTTACAGAAGCAAGCCAAGCTATGATCCTGTTACTCATGCTAATTAGGATTTCTTTTTGTAGTAATAAAAATGATTTTTTTAAAAAAAGAAGAAATAGTGGCATTTGTTACATTTTGGTTCTAGGAATAGCCAAAAATGGTATTTTGTGAGAGCTTATATCTCTCTGTGGGAAGGTGCAGATACATAAGGAACTAAAGGGTGCTGATGCTGCTGAACCTCCCTGAATTAATTAGCCCTTAGTTCTTACTTTACAGTGAATACCCTCTCCTATGGGTTTCAGATCTGATTCCCCTGGCAGTGTCAGGCAGGCAACTATTTAGTTGAGCTTCTGTACCAGCTGGCAGCCAATGAGTCTCTACAGGGACTTAAGAACGGGAAAGCCAGCCAATCATGCATGGTGTAATTTACATCTGATTGATGAAGATCTTAGAATCACAGAAACAATTAATTTGTACCAGGGCTCCTATGGGTCTAAAATTGAAAGATTTTGCCACTGGTACAAACATTAATTTTCATCTTGATCAATCTTCCGCCTTTTCATATGTCACATTTGTTCACGAGACACCTTTAGAATCATGCATGTTAAACAACGACTTGGGCAGCGTGTGTGTTTAAGGATTAAATAATCTAGTTAAGCAAATTAATTTACCAAACACATTTGTAGGTGGCTGAAGAGAACGCTTTAGCCAGTTAATGCAAACTTGATGTTGAAAATTTGTTTGTTATCCTCTCCAACATATAAAAAGCGCAAAAACAAGAATATATTAGGATGTCTCATATTAATCTTTAAAAGCTGCAGTAATTTTGAGTAAGAGTACTTTCATCTTAGTTATATAAGAGATGATGTATTCAAGGCATTGGTTTAATATTTGTAACTATAATTTATCACCATTAGTCCTATGCGTTTTTACTGAGATCTTAAGACTGATTCAGCCCTGTTACTGATGCAGCACCAAAGGGCATAACAGAGTCTAGTTTCCTTCCCTCCTTCTTTTTTAGCACACAGAGTACTGGGTGAGGGGCAACCATTGAGAACATCTCAATCCTCCTGCAGCCTTAACCAAGTACCCAGGTGCTGTCATTAAGAGTGTGGTTGATCTCAGAGACCATAGTAACACAAGACAAAATCTTTTGGCCTCATACTAGACATCTTCCAAACAATCTGGGCATCTTTTATTGAAAGTGCACATGCACTAAATCCCTGCCTACTGCTTCCTCACTTTAAATCACCCTACATTCCTGCAGTATACCTCTTCATCATGCCCCACATTCTAACACATCAGTTGTGCCATCTAGGAAGACCGTTACATGCCCTGAAATCTCCACGTTTCCTAGCAGTATGGAACTAATAAGGCTATGCATTTCCTGATGGAAGAAGGGCAGACCATCATTAGAGGTGATTGCAAGGAGAAGGCATAATAGGTTGTAAAGAGGAAGAAACCTTAAGAGTTGATAGTGGAGATAGTGGCCAAGAAAGTTTTGTCTGGATGGCTTTTGCAGGAAGCAGAATGAGTGAAACTAGGTTTGGTTTGACAGGATAAAAAGAAATGCAATGGGAAAGAAGGGAGGCAAAAGATAAGAGGGAAATGGTAGATAATAAAATAAGAGAAAAAGAATCAATAGAAAGGAAGCAGAGTAGAGATAAAAGAAGAAATTAAAGCTGTGAAGGAGACAACAAAGGGGAAAAGGGGGAATGCAAACAATTGGGAATGAGACATTAGAGTGAAGGCACCATGGTATTTTAATTAAACCCCAGGATGGACAATAGCTTCTTTTTCACAACTGGTTCCTGAAATATGAGCAATCCTAAATGATGAGAGTGAAGTGGTGGATCGTCCACCATTAGCAAAGCTCTGATGGTTCACACTGATCATGGCGGGCGCTGTCCCTTCAACATTTCTCTCTCTCTCTCTCTCTCTCTCTCTCTCTCTCTCTGGAGTAGGTGCTTGTGGGTTTGCATCTTTTAAAGGACTCCATTCCCTCATTTTGGTCTCTTGACCAGAACAACTCCTGCGAAGCCATGTCCTCAGGCATCAGGTAGAAGGAGGAAAGAAATTACTGTCTATGGAAACCCTAGTTCCAGAGTACAAGCTTACTTTCATTGTCTGCAGAGCCAATTACAGCTGGTCAAATCAGGAATGACATTGTAAATTAGAGTGGGTAACTGCATTCTTTTCTTTTTTTCCAGCTGAGAAAGCATTTAGTAGTATTGAAATTGGAACAGAATGGCTAGGTGACCCCCTTCTGAAGGTGTTGCCTAGGTGACTGATGGACGATGCACTTAGAAACTGTCAAAACGGAATTTTGGGAACTGCAAAATGGCAGTATCTATGCCAAGCAGGCCAGATTAATCACAACTCAACAAAAATACCATTAGTCCTCATTGAAACTCTCCATCAAACAAAATCTAAATTGGACATACAACATATTAATGGCAATTTTTGTTTACATATTTTTATCTCTATCATCTATGCCCATAAGAGCCATTCAATCAATTTTTCACTAAGTACTTTTCAAAATATAATTACTCTTATGGGCAGATCTATGAACAGCCGTGCCATCCACACTATAGTTCACTAATTGCACTTCTGGGCCATTATAATGAATTATTCGTCCACGTTCTTTAAGAAGATCAGTTAAAGCTAATCACTTCCATCACATATATCACTTCTGAGAGATCCATCCATAGCAGCCTTTTCATTTACAGCTTCATTTCTTTTTAATTTTCTAGCATTCCAGGATATGGCCATAAATACATATATCACAATCTGTTAGCATAGTAGATTTAGTAACTAGGAAGGAAGAGAGTGTATAGATTAACCAATAAGACATGTACAGCTACATACTGGAATAATATTTTTCACTGACATGCATGAGGATTGGACTTAATGTGTGAGGACTGGTTACCTTACTATGTGAATTAATATGGTTTATGCGGCAACAGGTCTTGAAAGCCCAGTTTCCTCTAGAAGAGCAGTTTCCAAGTAGAAATCGTGGCATGACATATCACTGGTATAAATCCACTGATCTTTGTGAAACCACACCTTCCACCTACCAGCCATGCTAGGAGAAGGTGTGGATCATCAGTATTTTCTCTTTCCATTTCAGTTGTAGACTAAAACGATCAACTCAGTGGTAGTCACCAGGCTAGCAGCACTGGTACATATTCATGGGCACATGGAATTGCTTTGTCCATGCATTTCAGTCTGGTGTTCCCGACCATACCAAGAAACAGACAAAACTGTAAGTGTGTGTGTGACTACCATTTTTGCCCAGCATATCTTCTCCAAGCACACAAGCGAAGGATTAGAGCATTCTCCATTTGCCTTGTTCAAGTGGACTGGGAAGTGGTCAAGTGAATGGACAGTGGTGACAGGGACAAAGAGGAAGGCTGGCTAACTCAAAGAGAAGGTCCCACTAAGAACATCTTATCCAAGGGCCTCTTTCAAAACATGGAGCTGACACTACACCTGTTGCCATTTTGTGGACACCTCAAATTTTCAGGAGCAGCTTCCTGCATCTGGCTGTCACAAATTTAATAAAGAAAGAATGAAAGGGGGGGAAAGAACTTCACTCTCCAGTAAGCCATACAACAGGCTGCCACATCATCCTCATGGTACCATGACCACCCATAGATGTACAAGAGCATCCTTATCTGCTTCCATGAAATTTTGGAAGGCTTAACATTTTGTAAGGTTACCGTATCCACATTTGCTTAAGAAACTTAAAAGTATTATTCAGAATTCCTTATTTAAACTGATAATGCAACATTATCTCCCACCCACTGAAAGAAGCTTTTAAAATAAATATTCATTTTATTAAATGATTTCTGCTCCGCATATATCAATCAGCTAGGGTTTGAATACAAATAATAATTCTTTATAATTTTCATTTATAATTACTAGCTCAGTGGCTGTAAAAAAAATAATTTTCGCAGTGCAAATGATAAATAAAATATAGGCTTTCCTGCTTGAAATCAATACGTTAAGTTTATTTCATACAAATACACATAGAAAGTTCTCATGACAGTCTGAAAAAATATAGAATTGCCTGGAGAGGATATGAGTTTATTGAATTTTCTCACTTTACTGTTTCATAGACTGTATCCTAACCAGATGGTATAATCTGATTGCATCAACTTAGAAGTATATAGGATTTTATTTTAATGTTAAAAAGGTCACTGGCTTGGGATCTTAATTTCTTTCTGTCTTCTATACTGCACTAGAATTACAGTACTGAAGGTAATGTAAGATAACTTTAATAAAAAAGAAGTTGAGTTTTATAGACTTAAATTTACTTATTCATTGCCTACCTATACAGTTAAATTCTGTAGGTGCTTTTTAAGTTACTACCGAAGCAATATATATCTTATTGAATGATGGGTGAAATTTGTATTAATGTAGTTGATGTGGGTATAAGATTTCTGCAAAAGCATTTTACAGTATTCAGTGTTACATTTCCATCTCCCTCCCTCCCTCCCTCTCTCTCATTCTCTCTCTCTAAGCAAAAAAACACACACATTTCAGACCCCCTCCCCCGTTTATTCTAGAAGTGAACATTATTTGACATGTTCTGCTAACTTTTAATCAGATTCGTTTTACCCTTTCATTCACAAAAAGTATAGCCTAACCTTCACCCATTAAAATAGTTTGCTTAAAAAAAACCCCAGTGACAAAGTAAATTTAAAATTAAGCAATCAAGACACTGAACTATAGTGCAGAAAAGGCAGCCAATAAAATTGCAGAATAAATTGCAACTGGAAAAGACTTTTTCTTGTGTTGAGTGGGGCATCTCCTGCTGGTCAATCTGCCCTACCCACAGCTGCTCCTCACTAAAAAAGCCACAGCACCTGAGGGATGGAAACCTTCTGGAACAATACAGAATATGCCAAAGAAAGCTGAAGTGGGGCAGGTGGGAGCGTACTGAAATTGGGTGTCCTATGCACATGGAAGGTTTTACCCCCACTAGCACAGAACCAGTAGTGGATATGACCCTCTGTATAAGCAGAAGTCCCAGCTCACTCTCTACAAGTTATAGCTGAAGTGGTTGATGGGGTTCCCATAGCAAAAAGGGCAACAGAGACAAAGGACAATCCCTTGTGACTTGCATGGTTTCAGCCTCTAAGGCTATACAGAACATAATCTTAATGGCTTGCCTCAAAATATAGAGAGGTACACATCTAAGAGGAGTTCTATCTCTTTTATTTAGGGGTAAAAGCATCATTTGGAATGTAGTGGGAGGAAAGATGTAGTTTTTGGTTGGTTCAGTTTCAGGCAAGGCTTTTAAAGTACTGGTGACGAAGTCAAACCAACCTCGGATTTGTACTGATCTGCAAGTTGGATGCTTCGTGTCATTGTTGCCCAAATTTGGGGGTTATCCCTGAGTCTGTCATATTAGACAGAAGAGCAAAAGAGATTTACATCACCAAAGGAGGATGAAGTTTACAGTCATTTTCTGTAATACAATTGGGCTTATTCAGTGCTTCTGCTATAGAAGCGGTTCTACAATAATAATGCTACTATTATAATACAATTTCTGTAATAATAGCACTTCTGTTATAAAATACCATTATTATAGAAATGCTATTATAAAGCAAGCATGGTTGTTTAGTATTTCTTCTGCAATAAAGGTGCTAAAAAGTCTGTGTGTGTTATAGAAAATTATTGCAAATTTTTCTTGTCTGGCACTGAAGATTTTTCATGCTGAATCTTGTCTGCTGCAGCCCCTGAAAAGCCGCTCTCATACTTCACTGTGATGTTTCTTTGAATTACAGTAAACATTGTGCATTTATAGCAGGAAATTATTGGACAGGCAAAAGGCAAAGCCCCCACCCACCCCTATTCACTCTCTGCTTATCTTAATTCACCCTCTCTTTGAAAATATATTTCATATTGGAAACATTTGCATAGGTTTATCACATTTGCATAGTTCACCGTTAGTGCTTGGAAGGGGAAAAATAAAACAAAAGATCTCATCTTTCCCTACTATTTTGGTTCTATGTGAGCAGCATCCCCTTTAATGGATTCTAGTGACATTACTTTATTCATACATCTGCTTGTAATTATTCAGCAGTGACAGCAGAAGAAGCAGGGAAAGCCATAGAATACTTGGAAGACCTGATCTAGCAAGAAGGATCTGTGTGGAAAAGATAGGTCTCTGGGTCACCTTTAACATGGGTCCCATGAATGCAAAGGAGGCTGTCATATGTGCTGAGGACAAAAATCCCATGTTTGAGAGGTGCCCATCATACCTAACATTTTCTTTTGGTAAGTACCCCCAAGGCATTAGTGGGTGAAGGACACTTCTCCAACCACCTTTCATTGGCAAACGGGTTGGCAGGTTCCTTATTTTGTTCTTGGGACTTGACCTATGCACCCATATCCACTGTACCCCTGTGCTAGGAGGGGGACGGGGAAATTTCTCTCTTATCATCACCCACTGGTAGTGACAGATCTCACCTGGGGTGGTGTCAGGGAACTGCCATCGGAAGGAAGGGAGGTGAAAGGACTCAGACAGGTTGGAAGAGATTCAGCAGCTGAAGAGGGAACCAGCAAGGGGAGAGAAGCTGAACTGAGGGAGGTGAAAGGGCTCAGACAGGTTGGAAGAGACTCAGCAGCGGAAGAGGAAACCAGCAGAGGGAGACAAGCTGAACTGTGGTAATGCGAGCGGGCGGGATGGCTCAGAGATACTTCCAGCGAAAACAGTGGTGAGGTTTCCGGACCTCCTGTAGCGACACCCACTCCTCGCCGGAAACTGTCACGCAGAGAGTCCAGAAGACGTGTTTCCGTTAAGGAGCTTTATGTTGGAAGCGATTACGAAAGCAACCACTGTCGGAATCTTCTAGTGACTAAGAGGAGCCATGTCAGAGGGGCTCAGTCACAGACAGAGGTTTGTGGACTTGAACAAACTCTGAGGGAATACGATTTTACGCACAAGCAGCTCATAATCCCATCACAGCATTCCGACAGTCTTTGAACGCAGCTTGTGCAGGAGACGGCATAATAATGAGCAACCCAGCAGGAACCGGAGAAGCAGGGGCTGGAGCGGGTCCAAGCCTGGAAGAAAGGTACCGGGTGTTAGAGGTCCAGCTGGCGCTGCAGACGGCGAGGCTGGAGGAGAGGAGGGCTCAAGATGCAGACAAAGGGAGAAAGCCACCCAGCTCGCCAGAAAGGTACCAGGATTGGTGCAAAAATTTGGGGGGGAGCCCAAAGACTATCATAGCTTTCGGACAGAAATGCAATATGCCCTCAATCTGCAGTTTGATGATTTCCCTGATGAGGAATCACGAGTGGCTTTTGTGATTGGGCATCTTGAAAAGGGCGAGAGACTGGGTTAGACCCCTGATGGCAGCGAATAGTGACGTCTTAAAAGACACGATGAAGTTCTTTCGCGCCATGGATCTGATGTTTTCCAGCGATATTGAAAAGGGAGTGGTGCGCAGACAGTTAATGGCTTGCAAACAGGGGAGCCGATCTGTACGTGAGTACTGGACTGAGTTCACCATGCTGATACACAGATTGGGGTGGGACTTATCGGCGGAACCCATTCAAATGCTCTTTGAAGAAGGGCTTTCTTCGGCTGTGAAAGATGAACTTTCCCGGGCGCCCAGGGCGGAGTCTATGGACCAGCTGACCAAATCAGCGCTGGCCATAGGAGCGCGCCAGGAGGCGAGAGCATTGGAGAGGCGGGAAGGGAAAGGGGAACGTTGGAAGGAGTTCCGCATTCCAGACATTCCAGAGCCAACTGTCCCGCCGGCAGAGCCGATGGAAATCGGAACAGCGCGCGCGCGCAGTTTCAAAGCCCAGTGAGGGGGAAAGAAGGATGGAAAAGGCGCCCGGAAATGCTATCTCTGCCAACAGCCAGGGCACTTTGCCAGAGTCTGCCCCCAGAGGAAGGAATGGCAAGGGATGGTGGGAGCTGTGGAGGGAAGAGAGGAAAAATACCGGAGCAACTAAAAGCCAACGCCTGGCTGCCATTGTCGGGCACAGCAGCCAGGCCAAAGAGCAGTGAAAGTGCCCACTCCAGAACCTCCTAAACCCGCCCTAGTGATAGAAGTGACACTAGAGCTCCCAAACGGACACCCTCTAAAGATAAAGGCGCTGTTGGACTCAGGCAGCTCCTGCAATTTCATGAGCAAAGAGTTTGCAGCTGAACACCAGATACAGACGCTCCCTTTAAGCAGCCCCCTGCAGGTAACCACGATCGATGGCAGGGAGCTGTTGGGAGGAGAAGTCAGCTTGCAGACCGTCCCAATGATAATGAAGGTGGCAAGGCACACTGAACTGATAGCTTTTAATGTGGCCACCTTGGGAGGAGCTCCCATTATATTGGGGATGAGCTGGCTAGCGTTACATGATCCGCTGGTGGGCTGGCATCAGAGAGTGGTTTCTTTTGGGTCAGCACATTGCTTAGAACATTGCAAAGAGGAAAGGTTTTGGCAGGGGCCCAAGCCACCCTAGCAGGGACTGAAGTGAAGGAGAACGTGAAGGTACCACGACAATACGCAGATCTCCGCGACGTCTTCAGCGAAAGGAAGCTGACCAACTACCACCGCATAGAGCCTTTGACTGTCAAATCAATTTGCTCCCTGGGGCACAGCTCCCTGTGGGCAAGCTGTACGCCATGTCAGACAGAGAGATGCAGGAGCTAAGAGAGTTCATTGACAAGAACCTGAAGAGAGGGTTCATCAGAGAGTCCAGGGCGGTGGGGGGCAGCCCAGTGTTTTTGTGGACAAAAAAACACGAACAAGCCGAGACTGGTGTGTGACTTCAGGGCCTTAAATGCAGTGTCAGAACCAGTGGCCTTCCCGATGCCCAGGATTGACGACATTTTGACAAGGGTGCGAAAGGGAAAGATTTTCACCAAGCTGGATCTATGGTTGGCGTACAACCTGATACGAATAAGGAAGGGGGATGAATGGAAAACCACCATGTTCACCCCTTTAGGGGCATTTGAATACTTAGTTATGCCCTTCGGTCTACAAGCAGGCTCCGCAACATTTCAATCGTTTATGAACCACGTCCTGGGGCCGTTGCTTTACAAAGAATTGTGTGGCCTTCGTAGAGCGTGTTAGTGCCTTCTGAGGTAAGAGGCAGCATCACAGAAGCTGTCAGAGAAAGTGTTGGGCAGGCTGCAAATGACATGTGGTGGCTTCTAAATGTAGTTTCCTTTCAAGAGTGGGTTCCTAGGAGTATAGCCTGTCTGACAAGGGTTGGCCATGGATCCAGCAGGGATGGTAGAGTGCACTGGAATGGAAAACCCCCAAAGCAAGGAAGGGTCTTGAGTTTTAGGTTTAGACTTTGGTTTAGTCTTCCACCCACCCTGTGGCGCCCGTACAGACTGTCTCAGCAGTAAGAAGAGTTGTTTGGTAGGAAAGCGAACAGCATTTGAGGAACTAAAGGGCCTTCGCCTCGGAACAACAGCTCCTGCATGGATTTACAGCAGTGATGAAACTTAGCACATGTGAACGAGCGGTTGGGGCGGTGCTTCTCCAGCCAGGGAAGGAGGAGTCAGAGTGGAACCGTATTGCTTTTTTGCAGCTGAATCCGAGAGAACTACACGGTGTATGACAGAACTATGTTGCGGCGTTAGGAGATTGAGCACCTGCTAGTGGCGCACAGTAAGGTGCAGTGCACTGACCACAGAACCTAGAGTATTGGAGGACGACAGTGCTCAGCCAACGGCAAGTGAGATGGGCCAGGAATTTCTCCAAATTTAACTTTGAGATTGTTACGTGCCAGGCCCAGAAGAGGCAGCTGAAATGGAGTGCTCTCTATAACCTAGATGTAGGAGAAGGCTGAAGAAGAGGTATATCATTCCAGAGGACCGCTGGGTGTGTGGGGCGGCATTGGTGGGACAAAGAGAACTGGTAGAAGAGCAGAGGAATGATAGATATGGGAATAAGCTCAGAGGTCTTAGGGATGGGGAAGGGTCAAGGGTTTCGAGGAAAGAAATGGAGCTTTGTATTACAAAGGGGCACTGTATATCCCCTGAAGGAGACTTAGAGGAGGTACCTCAGCAGTTACATGACCTTTGGCGGTGTTTTAGCTGCTAAGGGCTCATGTGGTTGGTCACCAGGAATTTTGGTGGCTAAGGTGAGGAGGATGTACGTGAGTATGTAGAGAAGTGCGAGCAGTGCCAGCGAGCCAAAGGGAAAGGCGAGCAGCAGCCTATCAGGCCACCACAACACAGGCGACCTTGGAGACAATTATTGATGTTTTATGAAACTGATCTGCAGTCCAAAGGAAAAACAGCCATCATGGTGAGTGGTGAACCTACTAACAAAGATGTGCCACACTTCTTAGCTTGCTCGCATGCAGTCAATGGAGCAGAGACAGCGGGGGTTGTTGTAAGTTTGTTTTTAGGTTGCAGGGTGCCATTGAGGTGGTCAGACCGGAAGCTCAATTACTTTGGTTCTGGAAGAGCTCATGAGCTTACTGCAGGTGGGGGTCACTTTTAAGAAGCTGCCACTTCCTGAAAAATGTGAAACCAATGAAAAACCATGATCTCTCAACTTATTACACAGTTATTATCAATGACAGAGAATGACTGGGTAGAAAAGTTGGCTGGCGGAGATTTGCTACAACAATGCCGAGAATGTGTCCACAGGGATGAGCCCCTTCTTGGCTAATTATGGGTGTCATCCCAGGGCTTTCCCAGGGGAGAAGGGAGAGATGGAGAGCGTACCGGCAGCCAGGCATTTTGTAGAAGAAATGAAGCAATCCACCGTCAGCTCAACTCAACTTAGAAAGAAGTGAAGGAAGAATACAAGAGGCAGGCAAATAAAAGCCGAGAGAATTATTAGAGCCATAAGGGTTAGTGGAGGGTAGTGGCTGTGCTTGGGGGTTCTGAATTCAAGAGTTGTCATTACGACCCAGGAGGTTGGGTCCCTTTGAGGTCATTCAACAGGTCAACCCAGTGACTCAGGCTCGGTTGCCCAGCCACATGAAGAGCTGCACCCAGTATTTCACAGGTGTTACTGTGTCACCGTACGAGGGGGGACGAGGAAGGGATGGACACTCGAGGGACCGGTCATAGAAGAAAGAGAATGCAGCAGTCATGTGGCAGAAATCCTTGATGCCAGGTGGAAGGGAATCCAGGTGGAGTATTTGGTAGCGTGGGAAGGAGGGCCGGGTCAGAAAGCACGTGGGTAATGGCCAAAAATATCAATAGCGAGGTATTGATAGAAATGTTCCATCAAAGGTTCCCGCGGAAACCTCAGCCTGTGGAGAGAGGTTCCGGAGAATACTTTGGGACCACTGAGGAGGAGGAGGAGTTGGAAGGATTCCAGTGTGGAAGGGAAGGGAAGATGGGCTGGAGAGGAGAGTGCCAGAGGCCAAGCACCAGCAGGAGTGGAAGAAGTCTTCGAGGCCTTTGGAAGGGTAGAAAGGAAGTTCATTCCCAGTTTGCCTCTCACCGCCCGTAGAGGAGGGCGAGAGGGGGTGAAGGGGGCCCCTGGAGGAGGTGGATGTCAGGGAACTGCCATGGAAGGAAGGGTAAAGGACTCAGGCAGATTGGGGGAGAGTTATGTGGAGAAGGCCATGGGGAGAGAAGCTGAACTGAGGGAGGTGAAAGGGCTCAGACAGGTTGGAAGAGATAGCAATCGGAAGAGGAAACCAGCAAGAAACAAGCTGAACTGAAAGGGAGCTGAAGAGGATGGCTCAGATACCCAGCAAAAAGCAGTGATGAGTTTCCGGATATATTAGCCTTTATCTCTTTGGGCATCATGAAATTCAAAGCAATCATTTTAGTTTAAGGCTTTTTGTGTTGAGGCAATTAAAGCAGCTTTTAACCAGATCTTACAGTGACTAGAGGCCATATGAAACAATCTGGACAGGGTTTGTGGACTGAGCAACTCTGAGGGAATACAGTTTTTACTTCAACAGCTGTTTCCACCTGCCCATACTAGGACAGTCTTTGGTTATCTTGCTGCAGATCTTCACGCTGTATTCAATAAATACAACCTTAAAGCAAAAGTCTTGTCTTTCAAGACACCATTCTGGGAGTGCAGGCAACTAAAAGTGCCCAATGCAGTGTCCAATGCAGCTGCAACCCTGTAATTGTCTCTCATCCCCTGAACTCTACATGGAAGGTGGAAGGGAGAAGCTTATGAGTTGCAGAATGAGATGTGGTCTGGGGACTGCTCTGTCTTTAAACCATAACCCAGCTATAGCAAAATAGCTAGTTGTGGCAGTGAATGTGTTTCATTTCCTAAACTGGCAATGCTTTCCATAAGCTAAGGATACAGCTCCCCCCCCCCTTTACAGGCATTCTTAATGTAGTCAAAGACCTGTAGAATCATGTAATTACCACTGATACATGAATTAATGATGTGTGCCCATAATTTTACTTTCTTGGAGAGGGCTGATCACTTCTTTCTTGCTGAGGAATGAGTAATCAATCATGTCTTTCATGTGAGATTATCAAGTCCAATAAAATATTATTGCTCTCTTGGGATCAAAGTTAGAGCATGTAGGTCTGAAGAGTTTGAAACATGGCTAGCACTTCTGTGATTTATCCACAATTGTAAATATTTTATTATCTACTGATGACTCTTTAACACTATATATTTGTATTTTAAAATTACATAAACTGGTTCAGAACCCACACTTGGTTAGTAATGAATTTCTTTGTGGATGGCCTTTCATGGACAATTGCCTTCTCCATGGCCTGAACTATATTCGTGGTAATTAAATTATTGCAGTAACTCAGATCTTATTGTCTTTGCCTTCAGTGTAACATTATTTTTGTGGTCTGGCAGAAGCTGATCAAATGACAGTTTCTTGAGTTTAGGCAAAGTGTTGAAACTCCCTCTTGTATCTCTCGAAAATCTTGAATCTCTGCAGGGAGTTAAGAAAGAGTTCTTCCATTTCTTCCACACTGCCTTGTCATACATTAAAATCTGTGATGTGTTGCTTTTAAAGAGGCCCTTCAACCTATATTTGGTGAATGGGTTTGATAAATGCACCTCTGATTCTTGATATTCTTCTTTGTCTTTTTGTCGCAAGGGTTGCAGTGCACTTTGTGATCCTTGTGTTGTTGAAATATGGCAAATATTTTAGCATTTAAGTCTAAATAGACGTGCATTTTTTTTTAGTCAAAGGGGCTTTTTTGTTTATTGATTTTTAGGACTTAATACAAGGAAGCTATAAATTAATTGCCTGCCTGAAAGCCACTTTATACAATCTTAAGTAAGCAAGAAATAACACTTTTCCCAGGCAAATAATGTGGCCTCTCAAGCTTCTCTTTTAGTATAACACTGAACACTGGGATTTTACTGACTTCTTACCCCTAGGATTTAGCTCCTGAGTTTCAAGTTCTTATGAATTTGGCTCCAAGCACACAGAGACCTTATGGTGTCCGTATTAGTTGGAGCTGTTTTAATTAAATTGTTAAACAAATTGGTGTTCACCTACCCTCTCTTTGCACACCTGCCTAACTTGTGTTGATGCTTAAGAGTGGAAGACCTGGATCTGAGAGGCCTGGGTTCAAATGTTGACTGAGTTATGAACTCACTGAGGTGCTTGGAGTTTCATGGCATGTACAATAGGGGTAAGAAACACCTCCTCAAAAGGTGTTGGGGGGAATGAGCCGGATAGATTATAAATGTCTTTAAATACTTTATATCATATAGGAAATATAACTAAAGTGTTGTGCCTGTTCAGCAAAGAGTTCTATCTTTCCCCCATGTGAAGCCATGACAGATGCCCTGATGACTCTCAAATGTATTTCCCAAAATCTGACCTTTCACTTTGTGCTCAATTCAACATCTCTAATGTTTTTGCTGACATTTCCCTCTGGATGTTTCAATGACATGTCAAACTGAATGCTGTGCAGATGGACCTCCTGATCTTAAACTCACCAACTTCACACACTTTTTTGTCACTGTCAGAGTTTCTGTTTATCTCTCCTCCTACTCATAGTGTTTTGGTCCTCCGACTCCCCTACTCTTCTCTTTGCATTTTCAGCTTCATTCCTTATTTCATGGATTGAAGGAACCCATATCTTGCCATTACATCGGAACCAGCAATTTATGGCTTCTCCTTGCCCTCTGAGGCAGGAATGCTGGCCTGCTACAATCCTGGTTTGAAGGGAAGAGGTTTGCTAGTTCAAACCACTGAAGTAAATCAGTGGAATGCACAAGGAGCAATGGAAGGAGTGAGCAAGCACAGGACTTGTTCATGCGAAAGTTTGGCATTAGGTGTGACTGTGGTTCCTAGTGAAGTGGTCCTATGCATTAGGCATGCCAAAAGTACATCTCCCTTTGCTTTTATTTTAGTTTTAAGGGTGGTTATTGATGCCTGTATTTATAAAGCAGGGCATTGTATTATAACAAAAAGTAACCACGACAAATGCTCTTGAAGCACAATGTTTTGATTTGTTTAACTTTGTGGTTTTAGAGTGGGGAGTTACATTTTGCTGACATCTTGTCCTCTCCCTAACTGAAGTGTGGTTGACATTCCCCATAAGCGAAATCTGAAAGGGTACCCATGATGCACAGCAAGCAGGAGAGGCAGTGGCAGAACTTTTGTAACTGCAGGATCTTTGGGTGTGCTCTGAAAGTCATAGTGAGAGACAATGGCTTAGACTTTAAAAACATGTTAAATGAAGGAAGTTCATGGAAGGAGTTTCCTGACCCCTCTTTCCTCTTGGAGCCACCTGCTCCAAATGATTACCATGCCCCTCTGAATTATGTGGGTTAGGGTGTGGGGAGATGCAAGAACAGGGAGAAAAGAATCAATTTAAACTAGGTGATCTTGGGTGATTCCCTCCTATCCCAGCTGCAATAAATGTTCTGCTCCACATTGTTCAGGGACTCCCTCCCCTATGACCTCCAGGAAGGTTTTTTTGAGGCTGTAATGGGGATAAGAGATCAGGAGACTTTCCATCTGTGATGATAATAATCTGTGAACTTCCTTCAGTTAGCTTATTTTAGGATCCCTGTCAGTATCTTAATCCTTTTATAATGCTTTCCTTGCTGTACACTGCAGAGAGGAGAAGCCAGCTTAGGAACAAGCTATGTAACGTGATACCATGCTGAGTGTATACCACAAAGCAACAGATGCTACAGAAGGCCCTTTCTGAAGTGTGTGGTAGCTTTTGAGACATCATGGGATTGAACAGAACGCTGCCAAAAAGTCTTAATGATGTCACTCAAGATGTCCCTGTAGGGATGATGGAAGATCAAATCAGCACAAAGCCTAGCGTGGAAAGAAAACCAGGTTTGCCTGAACTCTGATGTCTCAGTAGTAGCAGATCTTGTGCACAGTTTGAATTAGGAATTCCTTGTGCACACATTCTGGCTCATTTTTTTCTTAGCATGGTGCTCCACATCATACAAAGAGGTGTGAAGTTAGAACCATAACAGGGGTTTATGGAAATGCACCTTTGTTTACAGCACCACCCAAAAGCAGCTGCAAAGCCACTTTCTTTGATGCCATGCAAATCCATGGGAATTTACTGAAACCAAACATGACATTCCCTTCACACGTGCACCTTTCTGCATGGTGAGGAGTACCGTGTTGGGAGAAAACGTGGCCTAAACGCATTTCCAAAGCTTCCTTGAGACAGTTGCCCCCGGCCTCTGTAATTCCTAGACTGTTAACATCCAGTTACTGTAGTTTTGTACAGGGCTGCCTACAGGCAAGCTGAGTTATGCCTAACTGTTTGACAAATCTTTGCTTGATAAATAGGGCAAGCTTACCTAATCTAAGAGGGGAAGGTGCCCCCCCTCTCTTCATGTAGTTTGAAATGGTAACACCAAGGCTACAGCAGCTTTCTCTGTTATTTCAGGCTTGACAATATGGCTATCATTCCTGACAGCTTGACATGATATTAGCTATTCCAAGTGTCAGATGAGAATAGCTGATACGGTGGTGCACTAGTGTTGGAAAATTAGATGGGAATCTCGTGTGTGTGTGTGTATGTTTTAAAGCAGCTGCTTAAGTCTCTGATTAGCTGGGTTTTTCTATGCTGCTGTGTAATTTAAGTGAGCTCTAGCCAACATGCCTGAGGTGTTAAGAGGATGATGCATTTCCTGTAGGCATGAATAGGCTCCTAACTAAAGCAGGAAATCCTTACTGCCATTTATTATTTTTCAAGGCAGGTTATATATTTTTTGCTCTCTCAAAAGGAAGCAGTACCAATTAGCCCGGAAGTTTAACCTCTTTTAACTTTGCTTCTTTTATGGGAGCTTTCTAACCTTTTTTAATAAATCATTTTCTTTCTTCTTCCCTTTTTTGTCTCTTCCTCGCAGAATCATTTCCTAATGTTTCTCACGCTGGGTCCGAGGAGTAGGCTGCTTAAATTTGAGAATGATTTTTGAGGGGATAAAGTGTACAAGATTTTTGAATTCTTGCCATAAGTCCTTGGCAGTCGGCCAGGAAGCCTCAGAGGAGTAAAGCTAATGAAGGGAGGGTAAAGAAGATCTAGAGTATGTGGCTGGTAATGCAGTATTCATTTAATTGGGAGCAGGTATCGGTGCAAACTTCTCCATTTTAATTGGAAAAAGGAATGGGGGGAGTTGTTAAGGGAGAAGAAGGGGGGAAAGAATGCATAAAGTTTTCAAGCTGAGGAGCCAAAAGAAGGCCTGTATATGGCAGAGAAAGAACTCAATTTAGGGCAATTTGCACTGCAAGCTGGGCTGCTGTCTCCCCTGGGGATGAGGATGAGAGAGAAAATGGAACCAAAAGAGAACTTGATAAAATCACCTAGCACAGACAATCTCAGCAGAATAGGTTTTTTACTGAGTTAAATCTGCCCCAATCAATGTGATTCTTTTCATATAAGTTACAAATAAAGAGCCACAAGATTACAATAAAAAATTGTGGATGTAGAGCTGCTGATGTTGCAACGTGGGAGTCCAAAGGGTTTGTGGAATATATGGGTGAAGGTTGTTTATTTATTCCTTCGTGCTTATTTGCTACACTCCCTTATCCTTTTTCTTTCCTTGTCCCTTATCTTTAAATGTTGGATAGTGCTATACCATATGAACCCTGTAGACTGGATCGCCTCTTTGTATGTCATGACTCTTCGCAAGGCTTTAGATCTGAAAGCTGCTAACATCAACCTTAGGATCTGTTTTAAACAATAGCAAAAAAGAGAGACCCAAATCCTTTTAGCTTGTATCTTGTCTATCTGGTTCCATGAACGAACTGAAATAATAAATAATGCCAAATGAAATGAAAAGTTTTAGAAACCATGTGGTGTATCCCCACATTCCTTTCACCATCTGTATATGAGAGTTTGTGGCAACTCCACTATCCCTGCCTGAGCTGCTCTGTGTAGCCACTGAACCTCACCTCAAATGAAATGTGGGGGTTTTTTGGGGGTAAAATGTATGTCAAGGTTTATGATATTAGTTAAATTTCACAGTGCAGTTTTGCAGAGGGATGGAGGCAGGGAGAGAAGAGGAAGTGTTATTGTGGTAGTACTAGTTGTGGTTTGGATTCATCTGGGAAGCCGCTTCATTATGTTGTTTCATGGGCAGATGCTGCTTCATTTAATTCTCTCGCTTTCTAAGGTCACTTCGTTGCACAAAGAAACCTTTACCTGTGCTTCCAACAAATGCACTGGATGAAATCTGCAACCATCACAGCCTTTCTGAAGGACTGGAGTTTGCCAAATATCAGACAAATAGTTTCAGGGTTTTGGGGGTGGGTAGTGTGGTTTATTTTTAAGTTGGAGCATTTTAAAAAATGGTTCTGTTGCCCTGCCACCTGTTTTTTTTTTAGTTGAGTATTTATATGCAACTCACAGAGGATGTATTCTTTGGTAAGATGCTTGCAACATTTTATATGGATGTGTGTAGGATGCAAGGCAATGCCATGCATTGTTCCAATGACACACTTGTCAACCACAGTGCTGGATTTTTCTCAAGATACCCCTTCCTTTACTGCTCCTTGCATCTTTGCTACAAGGCAAAAGGGAAAGCAACTTTGTCCTTTCCTGCTGCTTAATCTTGCTTGCCTCACGCTTTCCATGACACATACTTAGGACTAAGCTGTTAGGTGATGTAGAATAGTACCACCTTCTCCAACCTTGTTCCCCTCAAATGCCTTGGATTGTAACTCGACACTTACAACTACATGCTCTGGCTGGGGCTGATGGGAGTTGTAGTCCAAAACTTCTAGAAGACACCAGGATGGCAATAGCTGGAACAGTGTATAAGGATGGACCAGGGGGCAAGAAATTCAGCATCCTTGGCAATGAGTAAGCATTTCTTCTTTTTCTTCCGCTTCTTTGTAACATAATGACCATTACAACCCAAAGGTGTAGTAGCAGAGTATTACATCACACCATATACAAAGCAAGCAGGCAAACAATAAATAATGAGGAAGAAATAGTAACACACAAGTATAAATCAAGACATCAATTTTCCCCAAGATGGTGTGAATAGAGAATGCTGCACATCTAAGAACTAAGCATAAGAAATAAAATTCCACCAGGTGACATAAAAGCTTTCTGGATCCTCCATCCCTCTGCAGACATGCAATTTATGTGCTAGTTTTTTATTAACTTATGTCCGTAAGTTCTTTTGCCACAATGAAAGCTGTAAAAAATTGTCAAGTTTTTCCATTGCTGCAGCTAACATTCATGTCTGTCATGGACTGGTTGGACTCAGAGGAGTGGTGGGAGGAACCAGATGGAACCCCCAAGGGCAGAAGGCTCAGAGTCAGGGGATTGTTGGTGGGATGACAATGAGTGGTCAGATGGAGTAGAGGGAGGAGCCTGAGAGGAGGAGGTGTCAGAAGCTGAAGAGGTAATAGGCTTTAGTGAGCAGGGAGAGTCTGTGGCAGAGAGAAGTCCACAAGGAGAAGCAGAGGCAGAAGCAGAAGAGGAGGGAGACCAAGAGGCAGAGAGGAGTCCGGCTGGTAAAGAGACACAGGTGTCTTTGGCTCCTGTCTTGGAGCCAAAGAACCAGAACGAGAAGAGGCATGAAGTGGGAGGAGCAAATACAGGTATGCTGGTGCAGTCCCAGATTTCTTGGGTGGAAGCCATGGGGAGGAGGAGATCGAGACACCTATGGAAAGGCAGGGGCCTTCATAGAGGCAAGACCTATCAAAGAAGAGTTTCTGTGCTCATTAGGCCTGACACTCCTGTGCAGATCCTGTTTCTTCTAATAAAGAGTTCACTTACGTCGTGACAGTTACTGCTGGCTCGCTCCTGTCAAAAGTGGGTATTTCTAATTACTGTTTTTGTTCAGGACTATATAAAGTATTTTACTTCAATTTTAGGTTAGTAGTGACTGTTTTGGAACAAAGTGCAATTTCTATATACAGTGGTACCTCTGGTTACGTACTTAATTCATTCCGGAGGTCTGTTCTTAATCTGAAACTGTTCTTAACCTGAAGTCCCACTTTAGCTAATGGGGCCTCCCGTGCTGCCGCCATGCAATTTCTGTTCTCATCCTGAAGCAAAGTTCTTAACCCAAGGTACTATTTCTGAGTTAGTGGAGTCTGTAACCTGAAGCGTATGTAACCCGAGGTACCACTGTATACACATTTTTACTCATTTGGTTTTGTACCAAAATGGTCAAATCTTCCATCTGTTCATGCCCTCTAACAATGACTGGAGTACAGTTGGAGCTTCAAACCAAACATTTTTATTTTTTCATTTTTTGGGCCAGGCTTTCACCACCACAGGCCTTGATTAAATGACAGGTTTTGTTTCCATTGCCCCCTCCTCTTTTCCCATTCAGCTCTTGACAGCATTTCCTCTCAACTGAATATTGTTATCACTTCTTTATTCTAATCCTCTCCCTTAGCTGCCTATATTATCACCCCCACCCCTGATTCAGAACGTAGATTCTTACCCTTTAATCCACTAATTGGCTTTGTACCCTCAGATCGCTTTGCCTCCTGCCTGCATGTGCAGCCTGACCTCCTTAGGTATCACAGACCCTTGCTATCTATCCTGGTCTTCACTTGTTTACCCATCTTTACCCCAAGTGTATTTGGTGGTAGCTACTCTCTGTTCGAAAGAAATTTGGATGTTTTATGTTTGTTTCTGGACACTCCTCTAAACAAGACTGCCTTTCTCTAGATCAGCTTCAGCATTCATTGCTTAGTATGTGCTCTGTAGATTTTATGAAGGGAGTGAACACTCATAATGTCTTCAGGGCTTCTAAAATAGCACAATGCCAGTAACAAGCATTGTTTCTAAATTGCTTACTGTATTTCCATGTAGATTTATTCATATATTTGATATAGTATGGCAATAATACTCAGTGAACTGAGATACACTTAATTTCTTTTATTAGATTATCTGGGATTTTGTGATAGTTACACAATCCTATATGTCTCTAGTCAGAAATAAGCAGTACAGAGTTCAGTGGTGCTTGGCCCCAGGTCAGCAGGTAGAGAATTGCAGCCTTAATCTTTTTATCTTGCATTGGGTTTCCTGTAACTGATGTTCTTTTCCCCCCTATATTGTCTGTACAGATAAATATACAGATCTCCTAGTTAGCAAAATAAGGGAGGTGATCACAGTGCTGATGTATGCAGAATTATTGCACCCAGTCATGGTTAATGGCACTAAATGGATTTAAAAAGACGAGTCTAGACTACAATCCTTTCAGCACCTGCCCCCTTTTCAGTCGCTGATTTGGGTTTTGCACCTGCAGATGTTGAACTGAGACTGAATTCATATAAAGATTTGTTTGGGATGAGAGCAAATTGCAGACAAGGGTATTTAGAACTGCACAGAACATATGTCACTGCCTTTTCTTGTTCTTAAAAACAGATCCCATTGTTTCTATGTACACCCTTCCACTTTAGCTGATGCTAATGGTGTTAAAAAGGTTTTATGAAAATCGTTACTGTGAACTTCTCTTTTTCCCTTAGCAAATTGACAATATTTCACCCTTCTTAATTTGGTTATTTTTATCCGCACATATCTTATACTGCTAATGTTGGAGTCATTAATTACAACAGGAATTCTGTGCTCAACTCTTACTTTGCCATGAAACACCATCATCAACAACAACAACAACAACAAGCTCGGTTGTTATCATGTTATCCTTTAGATCAATCCATCTGCCAGCTGGTTGTACTTACTGCCAGCAGACATTCATTCCCTGAACATTTTTGTGCTCCTCTTCCAAACAGTCGCTGCCATTTCCCTGGTCCTGCCCTACTCCTGGGAACGCTGTGTGGGCCATTGTGAAACTGTGACAGTTTCTAGGTCAGCCAGAAGGCAACATGATCAGAGTTCCTATTGCTTTCACACTGACCTGGAAATGATCCAGGCCAGCTGCAGTTGGTAGGCATTTCTAAAATGACATGGAGGGAGTACATTGTAAATGACTCTCGCTGTAATATCAATTTGGGG